GGCGCCGGAACGGCGTCGCGGCATAGTAGGGAGCGCAGCGGGGCAGCCCCAGAGCCACCAGAGCGTCAAAACATGTTTTTTTTGCGCCTGCGAGGGGCCTCTCGCCTCTCGTCCGCCCTCCTCTGTTGGAAGCACTTTTGAAGCTTCTTGGAAGCCGCTTGGGAGCTCTATGGGGGCTGTTTTGGGCTTCTCGGGGGCTTCTCGGAGCCCTCTTGGGCCGGCAGGGCGCCTTGTGGGCCGTCTTGAGGCCGTCTTGGGCCATCTTGGGCGCCTATCGGGCCTTCTTGGGGCCATCGTGGGCTGTCCTGAGCCCCTCTTGGGCCTCTCGTGAGGTCCTCTTGGGTCGTCTTGGGCGCCTCTTGGGCCGTCCTGGGCCCGTCTGGAGCCATCTTTGGGCCCTCTTGGGGGGCGTCTTGGGCGATTTTGGAAGCCTCTGGGGCCGTTGGGGACGCTTCGAAAAGCAATATGCCGAATCTGCTGAAAATGTTAATTTTCAAAAGGAATGTAACGAATTTAACTTGAAGGAACCCTTTCGGGGGACCCCTTGGACCCGCCTGGAACCGTCCGGGGGCGTCTTTGGGGCTCATGGGGCCGTCTGGAGAGCAGCTTTGGCCGCCTGAGGTCGTCTCGGGGCCTCCATAGGCCGTCTCGGGGCTGTCCTGAGCCCCTCTTGGGCCTCTCGTGGGGTCCTTTTGGGTCGTCTTGGGCGCCTCTTGGGCCGTCCTGGGCCCGTCTGGAGCAATCTTTGGGCCCTCTTGGGGGCCGTCTTGGGCGATCTTGGAGGCCTCTGGGGCCGTTTTGGACGCTTCGAAGACCAATAAGCGGACTGTGACTATTTTTGCTTGATGGAGCCCTTTCGGGGGACCCCTTGGACCCGCCTGGAGCCGTCCGGGGGCGTCTTTAGGGCTCATTGGGCCGTCTGGAGAACACCTTGGACCGCCTGAAAACCGTCTTGGGTCGTCTCGGGGCCTCCATGGGCCATCTCGGGGCTCTTCTGGGGAGCTCCGGTGCCGTTTCGGGCCCTTCCGGGGGCCCTCTGGAGCCGTTTCTGGGTTCTCTGAGGGCTCCGGGAGCTGGGAGCCCCCGCAAACCCACCAAGCGTCTTTCGGATTTATTTGAATGGATATATAGATATATCGGAGTAGGCGGGGGGGGCCGGGGCCGGTGCCGTACCCCCTCTATCCCCCTATGGGGGGATTGGGGGGGTCCCAGGGCTCCCGGGACTGCCCGGGCCCGCTCCCAAACACGCCACGACACGCCAAGAGGGCCCTAAAGATTGCCAAGACCGCCCCAAGAGGCCCCAGGCACGCCGAAGATGGCCTTAGGACGGCCGACGACGCCGCCAAAACGCCCCAAGAGCGCCTCCAGAGGCCCCTCCAAAGGGCCCCAGAAGCCGAAAATAATAGATTTTCCAATGGTTTTTGAAGCATTTTTACGCTCTCGCATGCTTCGCCTCCCCACGGTCCCAGACGGCGTCAGAGGCCCTTCAGATCGCTCCAAGACGGCCGAAGAGGCTCCCAAGAAAGCCAGGAGACGGCCCAGGCTCCCCAGATAAGAGGGCCTCGAGAGCGCCCCAAGAGAGCCTCAAGAGCGACCCAAGAGGGCCCGAAGAGCGCGACATTTCAAGGTCTCCGGCCTGAGAGGCTCCTAGGACGCCCCCGAAGGCCATCAAGAGGCTCCCAACAAGCCCCGCGAGGCTCCCAAGAGGCCCCCCGGAAGCCCCAATAGGCCCCCAAGGGGCCCCCAGGGAAGCCCCCTGCGGGCCCCCAGAGACCTCGGTAAATCGTATTTCCCAGACAGCTTTCTGGGAACATGATTCCTTGGGCTTCCGCCCACAGCCCCAACCATGTTTCCAATAGGCTTGCTGACAAGGCCAAAAGGGACCTCTCAGTAAGCCCCCAGAGGCCCCTCTCTTCAAAGAGCCGAACAAATCATGCTCCCGGAGAGCTTCCCGGGAACATGATTCTCGGGTTGCCGCCCTCTGCCCAAACCATGTCTCCTAAACGCCTGCTAGAGAAAAAACACAAAAGAGTCCCAAGCAGCATTACCTGCCGCCACGCTCGGAAACGCGTCAGGCCCCGAAGCCTCCGGAGGCGTCCAACGACACCCCAACAAATCATGTTCCCAGGAAGCCTTCCGGGAACATGATTCCTCAGGCTTCCGCCCCCGGCCCCAACCATGCGTCCCAAAATGCTTGCCGGGCAGCCCCCCAATGGGCCCTCATACACGCCATCACGTTACCAGAAAGCTCTCCGATCACATGATTCCTCAGGCTTCCGCTCCCCGCACGCAACATCTGTCCCAAAGCGCTTGTCAAGCAGGACTCGAATGGGCCCTCGAGTACTTTCCTAGAAGCCCCACAAGATGCTGATGATGGCGATGATGATGACGAAGGTGACGGTGATGATGGTGATGGTGATCGTGATGGTTGTGATGCTGACGACGATATCCACGATATCGAGGAGGATGGCGATGAGGATGGCGATGGTGACGATTACGAGGGTCTTAGCTAGAAGTTGA